GTACATCACGAAGAACACAATATATACGATCATTATCACGTTCAGCATCACTCAGTCGTTTCAATAGTAGAAGACCAAGCCCATCACCTTTCGCATAACCATTTGCATCGACGCTAAACGATCGACTTTGTCCATCAGGTGATACAGCGCCAAGAATCGAACTCCATAAAAGACTCTCTGGTGAATAGACAGCATTCACTCCACCACATATAGCCATGTCTGCTTCATTTGTACGAAGACTTTGCACAGCTAAATGTACAGCCTCCAGCGACGATGAACAGGCAACATCTAATGATACGTTAGGACCTTGTAAATTAAAATGATAGGATAATCGAGCAGCAGCATTGTAGAGTAAACTATTGGGTCCATGAAATCTCGATCGATGTTCAGGCGCCATGCGAAATGATGTAATAGCATGATCTGTGGAAAATTGTCCAATATGTACGGATGTTTTTGAGCCATGCATTTTCTCCATACTGTAACCAGCATCATCAAGTAAATGAACAAATTTGAGCATGAGTAGTCGATGACATGGATCAATACTACCTGCTTCGGCGTCGGATAGACCAAAGAAACTTGGTTCAAACATATCCCATTGGTTATTCGATAGGAAATATCCTCGGCGAATAAGTTTCTGACGCAATTGTCCATCATTATCTTTGTTCAACATATGAGCACAATAAGACTCGAGATCGAGTCGATCACGTGGGATTGCACTACCCACATCTTGACTGTGCTTTAATGCATACCATAAATCATTGGCACAGTGAATATCACCTGCAAATTCGCATGCTATGCCTACAATGGCTATTGGTTCTAATAGATTATTCGAAGTCGACATTGAAATTTTTCGAATATTTATTAATGGGTCAATAAAAGAAATAAATGAAAAATCTAAAATGCACAAATGCTAAAGAAAATAATATCCACTTAAACTGTTGATAAAGGATTGAATCTAACATATGAATAGAAGTGTATACCTCGTCAAATTATTAGATGAGATTAACGTTTCTAAAAATCTCCGAATCGTCCTTTTCAGAGTTCATAAATTGTCTTTCGATATTATATATATTTGAAGATGACATTTTAAAGAGCTCGAAACTCTGAACAATTTAAAAAATCATCATATTTTTAGGAAATTTCCTTTACGAAGGTACAGACGACACAGAACACGAAAAGAACGAATTAATTGTTGATTATTTGATGACATTCTTTTTTTCTTTTTTATAATACTTTACAGTTACATAAATAACTTTCACGATCTAATTAAACACTTTCCTGATACTCGCAATTAAAGCAATCAAAAAATAAAAATAAATGATCTAATATAAGCACTAAAAATAATACAGCGGAACAAAGGTGAAGCGGGACAACGATCATCCAGCTTCATCAAAAAACAATATGATAAAACTATAGAGATGATGAAATGAACGATGATAAAATGAAAGAACAAAGACGACTAACATATATGAGGAGAACAGGAGAAAAAAGATATATATACGAAAGAAAAGAATAGAAAAAAAATATATATGAATGAAGAGGATGACCTAAGTCATCTTCTAACACCGATCTTTACGCAGTAAATACTTATTCAAAACTCAGTGATTCAATACTTTCTTCTTATCTGAATGAACGACGATGAAAATTAAAAACCAGTACATTCAACTCACCAAATTGTGATCACGAAGATGAGTGTTCCCACTGTCGTTCGAATAACATAACGATATAAATAATGTGATCTCTTAAAAGACAATAAATTCTGTCGAAATGAAGGAGATTCATGTGTATCTGTATTGATCTTAGACATTATTATCGGTCACTGTAAAATAAAATAGTTTGTTGTGATAGATATCAAACAGAACGCAAAAGAAAAATGAATGTATTGCTTATACCAAATAAAATATATCGATTTGTTTTCGTCTGTACAAAGAAGACACGTGTTTGCCTATATTCATACTACAAAAAAAATTATCATTGACGATCACATATTGAATATTATGTTGTTATCACTATCGTTCATAGTAACACAAGGAGATAAATTATTTAATGTGTTAACGTAAAATAAATATAAGAGTAATCGCTTGAAATGAAGGAAATACATACTTATTTGTATTCATATTAAACATAATTACCGACGATTGTAAGCCATAATATTTTGTTATGATAGGTATGAAGAACAATGAAAAATAAAAATGAACGCATTACTCCCACCAAATATAATATACCGATTTTTTTCTTCTGTAACGAAGGAGACACGTGTTTGCTTGTATTTATATTATAGAAAATTATCATTTTGAATAATGTCTAATATAGTAATCATTTAATGAAATATTAATTAATCATTGTAAATAATAAACTTTCATAACATTTAAATTAATATTTTGATTTTGATTTGCTAATCTTGTTGAATAAAATAAACAATAATTAAACTGTATATATCAATGAATTATTCTTTCATTACTAAATTATCAATAAATAAAATAATTATTTCAAATAATATTTGTCGGTATTTTAATATTGACTGAATATTAATTGTTAAACTAATTCTTAGATTTTGATATTGAGATTGTAAATCATAATAACTAAATGGGTAAAGATATATTAATCTTGATTTATTATAATTTAACCAAATTCATAAATTAATTCATGATGACAATAAATTTCATCGTTAAATTGAAATAATTCATTTGAAGATTTTCTTGAAATTAACCTATTTTTATTTAAGTAATTTGTTTGACTTAATGAAAAAACAATTAATTGTTTAAATATATTATATATTGTAGTTGTAATATAAATTTCACAATATTAATGTATAATTGATTTAAAAACATTAATTTAGTTGAAAAAAAATTATTTATGAACATATCTTTTGAGAATCTGAAATTTCTCCAAAAGAACATAAATCCGTAATGTCAACTCATGTTCTAAAATCTTCTAGCAAACAATAAAAACCATTTGTATTATTTCTCGAATATCTATTAAATAATATCTGGTGCATCAAAAGCACTAGAACCATCAATTTGATTATTATATAAACAAATGAATTCTTTTGTATAAATTGAAATAATACATTTAAATGCTAACCAACAATTATTTCTAATAGGAAACATTGATTCCAATAATTTTTTATGACGATGTATTGAACAAGAACTTATCAATGGTAATTCAAGACATTAAACAAATTCAATTAAGAAAATTGGTAGACATGTATTCCATTCAATATTGATTTCAAATTTAAATATAGTTTTGTCAAATTGATTATTTATATTTATTTGTGAACAATGCTCTTCACCAAATGGACCATCGAAACAATCGAATTTTCCATCACAAATATCAATTCAATCTAAACAAGATGGGTGTGAACCATGATTATATTTTATATGAATATAACATGTTAAATTAGTATTTATAAAGTTAGATTCAGTATAAACAAATAATGTACAAATCCTTAATATGATTGATGATTATCATTTAATTCATATTGACATACTAGATCTAATCTTAGTAATGTACAATTATAAAATATATCTTTATTCATCATGTTATTATTTATTCATTTAAATATAATTCATCGAAAGTAAAATAAGAAAAAGAATTATCAGGTCGTATTTGAAATTTTGATGATAATTCATTCATACAATAAGATATTGATTCAAAAGTATTACAATCTTGATCATCAAATACTTTTTGACGTAAACAATTATATTGTAATACATTATTATTTATTTCATCTGTATACTACAAATTTAATTCAAACAGAAAAACCATCCAATTTAAAAGAATCTACTAGAATAAATATATTATTGAAAATATTATATTAATAATGATAGAAGAATTACACATAAAAAGTTAAATTAATATTATGATTTTAATATACAGAATTAATAATATGGTTAAAGGGATAAGAGAGTTGTTTCTGGATCGAATGAATATATTTTTGAGATTTTATTATTTATAAAGAACAATTAAACTTTTCCTGTTTATGGCTATACAAATGTAAATATTCAATGTAAAAGCAGTGATACAGAATAAATTTATTAAACAGTTTCCACCGATATTTTAAAAAGTTAAGAGAAACGAAAATGTTTGAATAGATATTGAAAGTAAGGATAGGAGTGAAATAAACAGAAATATTAGAAAAAATTGAACATTTTTATCTATATCCTTAAATATATATATGGGTGTGGATGTGGGAATGAATAGAAAGAGTAGACATCCACATCCACATCCACACCCAAACTTTGGGACACAAATTGGCGATTTCTAAATCGGAAGAGTCAAATAGAAGTTTTTTATGTTGTTCATTTTATTTTCATAATAGAGTGAAATATAATTGTGAGATAGTGGCAAAGTTTTATTGTGTAATTTCAGGAGGTATAATCTACACATACATCAATGAAATGATGTTTCTAGTTAGATAATATTAAATGTGCAATAATGATTTGAGAATTGCGGCACTAATTCATTAATATCTTGACGGTATGGGTGTGAATGTGATATAAGTACGATATCTATACCCACACCCTTTGGTATTTTTACTTACGACATTTTTGCTTTTGGCCAAAGGAAGGAGAATCTTTTTTTACAGTATGTTAATATATATAGAAATCATTTGCTTGTTTATCTCTTTTCTTTATTCTCTACTATGAATTATTCTTTTTCTTGAAACAGACAGAATAATTCCTGAAACAGAATAAATAGTTCTTTTTTTCTCTCTTTTCATTGCTTTAAACAGCCTGCTGGGTGACTGTTCTTTTTCTTACCCAACACAGCAAATTCCTGCCTTGTTCAGACATAATAATTTTGTGTCGTAAAAGTCTTTTCCTATAATACATGTCTCTCGATACGTATTTTTTACCTTACCATTAGGTATTATTACTCATTTATGTCTAAATAAGATTAGAATTTCTCTACGGGTGCTCATTTAAAACAATTTCTTTTTTTTTAAAAAGTTTGTTTTTTCCCTTTCATAAACACAAAATTCGTAACAATACAATTTATTATTTGTTTTTTACAAGTTCGAAGTTATTTTTCCACTTTTGAAGTTCTGAATGATTTGAAGGTAATGATTGTTGTCCAATTTGTATAGAATGTTCATAAAATGTACGGGCTTTTGAGTAATTACTCATGTTTCTATGTACATTGCCAACTTTGTTGTAAGACTCGGCTAAATCAGGATGGTTGGGAGGAAGTGATTGTTGTTGAATTTCAAGAGCTTTTTCGTATAATAAAAGTGCGTTTTGATAATTACCCATAGTGTTATGGACTTCACCAATGTTGCTGTAGGAACATGCTAAATCAGGATGATTGGAAGGAAGTAATTGCTGTTGAATTTCAAGATCTTTTTCGTAATAAGAAAGTGCTTTCGGATAATTACCTGTGATGTGATGCACTACACCAATGTTGTTGTAGGACATAGCTAAATGAAGAGGAATGGGAGGAAGTAATTGTTGTCGAATTTCAAGGGTTTTTTCATGGAATGAAAGTGCTTCTGTATAATTGCCCATCCTGATATGCGCTATACCAATATCGTTATAGGCCATAGCTAAATCAGGATGAGTGGGAGAAAGAGTTTTTTGATAGATTGCAAGAGATATCTCAAAGAATGTAAGTGCGTCTGGATATTTTCTTTGATCATCTTTGATCCTACCAAGTTGTTGATAAATATCTGCCTTGGTTTGATTATCTTTGGTTTGATCAAGTAAAACTTGATAAAGACCTTCAGCTTTGTCAAACTGACCCATTTTACGTAATACCGAACCCAATCTGAACCATGCTTCTTTATCTGGATAACTCTCTTGTCGAATGCAGTCAGTAAGTCTGTTCAATTCTGGATCATTATCAGCAGTAAGTGCCAAGTTAACTTCATATAAACGATTATATCCATCCATCTGTTTAATATCTTGGATGCGAAATACGGTATGCATTGAAAATAAGACTTCATTTTCTTTTTTCATAGCGCTGATACCAGCAATAGAAGCAAAGGGTGTTGTTAATTGAGCAGGATTAATCTGAATGATAAAAAGAACTCCCACTTGATCTGGATTTCTTGTAGCATTTTGTACAAAATCTAGTGAAACTTCGATGTTTTCACTGGTAGATAGAAAGTTGTTAAATGAAACAAGACCACCTTTAGCTTTCATCATTTGTTCAAAATCCCCTATAGATAAACCTTGTCCACGATAAAGGGTAAAGGTGTCATCGGAAGTTTGACCAGCATATTGTTCCTTGTGTAGTTGTTCGATATTTCTATGCAAATCACCGATGAAGAAGCCCATTCTTGTAATGATATCACCATCCATCAATCGTAATGCTCGATTGAGCATCGGATAGAGGAACATGTCACAGGTGTACCAAAAAATTGGTGGTTCGTCGTAGTATTCATCTTCAAATTGTTTAATATGAACCATTTCTTCTTCATCGTCACCAAAAACATCGCGACAGTAATTAATATAATCTTGAATGTGTTTTTGTTCGAACTTAATGCTCAGTAGTATTTCTTTGATGAGTTGTGTATACATAAAAGAAGGATCTAATTGATCCAATTTTTTGTTTAATCCCACAAAACTCATTGGAATAGCATTTTGCTCACATTGATGAGCTGCCGATTTAAGAGCTTCACAGATATGTGTAATATCTGTGTAGATACCCTTTATTTTAGGCCAATTTTTAGCCCAATGTTCATGATGTTTTTGGTTGTTACAAAAAATAAAGATTGAATCAATATGAGACATACTATGCACACGAGGCACAATATGTTGCCCAAGTGATCCAGATATGATCATACATATCTTTTTATCGGTGGTCGCTCGAATGAATTCTAGACATTTATCACCATCTGTGAATGTATTGATGTCGTTGATAGCCCGTCGCAGTTGTGTGATTGTATTTTGGCAATCATCATACGTCTCATCAATTTTACTATCTAACCAGATAAGAAGAACATTTTGCATGCGTTCAATATTGATACGTCGATGACTTTTTGCATCCTCTGGAAATGAAGATGTATTTATTGCGCCATCAAATTTGTTAGTTACTATCGATTTTCTATTGTTCATTGCCGACTGTGTGAATGATTTGGATTCAAGTTATTGTGTAAAATTTACTAGTGACGTAATGATAAAAATCGGTTTGTTTTATAAGTGTCTACTCCCTTTCGAAGTGGTTTTTTTCTTCACTTCTTTATCATGTTTATGAAAAACAACCAATGAAGAACGAAAAAAAACAAACTGATGAAATATTGTCATGGTTGACGAGCTATCGCAGTAGTTCACGAAAAATAAATGTTTGATTTGCTTTAACGGAGAAAAAACGTGTTGAGTCATGTTTGTTATTTGAGAATCGCAAGTGAAAAAAAGCATTTATATTAGTAAATATTGCCTGAAGTACATCAATTGATGAAATAATTCTTCATCGTCAATTAGTAGAAGTGAAATTTAAAAACTGTTTCAACTAGCTTTTATTCTTTTTCTTGTTGTATTCTTTTAACTAAAAGTTTTTATATGATCATTATGTAGATAACTAAGATAAACTTGTAAAAAAAAGAGTGGGTGTGGGTGTGGGTGTGGACGTGGGATTGAATAGAAAGAGTAGACACTCACACCCACAGCTATCCTTCACGAATATATCCTAGATTGTCAGAATCAAATCTTGTCTTTCCTTTTGTCCGTGTTTCTTGAAAATAGTACGTTCATTGAAGTTGAAAATTCGTTTATAGATTCTAGTTACATTTCGAAGTATCAACTTATTTACGGAATATATTTTTTGAAAAACGTACGTGTCTTTGACTGAAAATTTTTGGTAAATTACAAAAAGATGAATAACAGATTAGAAGTTTCGAAATATCTTGGAGTAAAAAAGACATTTACATGAAAAGCTCATTCTGAAAGTGTTGCTTCAAAATAAAGATTTAAAACAGTTCTTTGTAAAAAAATCTAGCTTTGAATCGTTATATCAATATTAATTTCAAAAATCAGTATACGGATCCGTCGGTGTTGAATGTTAACAGGTATATAAATAGCGTCATGTGTTTGGTATATTGATACTGATATGATATTATCTTAGTCAAATGATATTCATATTTATATATGGAAGGATAAAATTAAATCTTTTTTTATTGACGACGTTTCTTAGTCCGATTTTAAAATCATGATTTTTTTAGGAAGGCCAATTATGTCAAATAATTCGATAAGAAAATATTATAACAAGATCATTTGATACTTCAATCATATATTATCGTTTAATTAGCGTTATTTTAAACAAAGAAAAACAATCATCAACATTCATCTTTCTATGCTGAATCCGGATATCATATTCAATAGTTTTTTTTTCGGCACTTACAAAAAAAGGAGCATGTCGCGATATTTTTATAAATCAGAAAAGAAAAATGATTTATTTATGAATAATTTAATGATTAAGTTTATTATGATTGATGAGTTAATTGTAATAACGAATTGAGATGATACGTATATCCAGATAAAAGATTTTCTAAAATTAATTTTTTATTTTGATAAACTATTGTACAACTATTTTGATTTGATAATGGTAGGATTTCAGCTCTTTGTAATATTCCATCTGTCCACCAAATACTAACTTGATAATTTCCTCGTGCTCTTAAACCACAAACAAAACCTTGTGGCCAATTATCAATTGGTAAAGCTGGTAAAAGTTCAATTTGATTATTTTGACTTTGAAGTAAAATTTCACAAATAGCTGATGTAACACCAAAATTGGCATCAATTTGAAACGGGGGTCCGTCGATTAAATCGAACATATTTGGAGCAGTATGTAAAGGTGTTAATATCATACAAAGAAGTTTAAATGCAGTTGAACCTTGATGAAAACGAGCCCATATATTAGATTTCCATGCTAATGACCAACCCGGTGATGGAACAAATATACCTCGAAGATCTAATGAACGAAGAGCGGCATCACGATATGATGATGGTTCGAATGTTACAGAATTTCCAGGAAAAACACAATACAAATGAGACCTTCAATATCATATATGATAAAATTTATTGAAAGAAAAGAAAAGGAAAGAACATACATATGTCGATTATGAAGATCAGCTACCTGATCCCAATCTTCAAACCACTCTTGTAATTGACCTAATTGTCCAATTTGTAAAGGTGGTAATTGATTCATTGCATTTTGAACTTCTTCTCGAAATGATAAATCAATATTAAATAAAATTGACGTTTCAATAACTGAATGAAATAAATCTTTTATTAAAAGAATATCTAATGTTGGACCCGCACAAACAACAGCACCTAATTCAGCATGATGTGCAACTTCAGGTGACATTGATGGATTTGTTAGTAGATAATTTGATGATTTAATTAGAGTTTCAAGAAAAAATTGAGCAGCTGAACGAAGTATTGGATAATAACGAAGAAGGTTTTCTTTCTCATTAGTAAATAAATAACGATCAAAAATACTTTTACAAAGCCATATGCCACCTGTTGGCCATGTACCATATATTGCATCATCAACAGGTGCTGTTCCTCTCCAAATGTCAGTATTATGATGACAAACCCAACTTCCTTCTCGTTTCTATTAACAGAATTTTATTTTATTCTGAAAAAAAAATCTGAAATAAATCAATCTAATCTTACTGTTCCATAATGTAATTTTGCTGTTGTTTGTCCTGTATGAGAAATATCTTCAATAAGATTAAATAAAGGTTGATAACATTCCAATAAATTTGTTGCCGCTGCTGCCCAATAATTCATTTCAATATTAATATTAATTGTATATTTTGATTGCCATGGCGGTGTCATGGAATCATTCCATATGCCTTGCAATGTTGCTGGTTGACTACCTGGACGACTTGATGATATTAATAAATATCGTCCATATTGAAAATATAATGTTAATAATTGAGGATCTAAATTTGGATTTTGTGAAAATAATTGAATACGCTGATCTGTTGGTTTAAGCATCGCTTCACTTTCTCCAAGATTTAAATGAACACGATTAAATAAGAATTGATAATCAATTAAATGACGTTGGAGTAATTGGTCATAATTAAATAATAAACAATTTTTTAAAATATTTTCACTTAATTTTATTTCATCACCATTTATATTCGCATAATTAATATAACTTGTGGCAATTACTATTCTAAGAGTAAGAAAATTCGATGCCAATATTATTAAACGATCATTTAATACATAACATTCACCATCTGATTCAATATTTATTAATAAACGAAAACGAATACTTCCTATCATAGATTCAAAATCACCACCTACACCATCAACTATTAATGTATTCGATCCATCTACACTTATTTTTGTCTTTTGTGGACTGGAAAATGATATGACACTATTGATTGAATTTGGTGACTAGAATATATATATTTGAGTTTAGAATAGCTTTTAGATACATTGATTTCGAATGAGTGAAAAATCCGTTCGGGCATATCAGATCGATTTGAAAAGATTCGCGTTAAATCGAAACTATTCGACTCTAATTCTGATAGGTTCAACGTAACTTTTCCCGTGTACTATTACAAAAGTACATGATATTATATCGCTTGTAAAGCTGTATTCTTTTCGTGCATTCTAAATTCAACTAAATTCTCATGTTAACTGATATAACAGGTGGTGTTGAAAGTATTGCACAGCTAGAATTTTTCTCAAGAATATCTTACCGATGCTTGAACATTATAAACCATACAATTATCTGGATACGATGCAAAACAAGTTCTTTGAAAATGAACTCCGTTACTAGTCGAATAAGTTGTTGTTGCAATTGCTTTTTCTAAATTCAATTCTCTTTGATATTGATCAATAGAAGCTAAAGATGATGATTCTTGAAAGAAATCTATAAATAAATCTCCAACAGTTTGATAAGGTGCTTGACCAATTGGTTTCGCAAAGAAATTTTGTGTTAACATTGTTTGAGCTTCATTCCATTTATTATCTTGAATTAATTGTCGAATTTGTGGAAGATAATTCAAAGCATCTTTATTTGAATAATCATGTGGACAGCCAGCCCATAATGCATCACTATTTAATTGAATTATTTCACGTGGATAACCACCATAAATCATTCCACCCATATAACCATTGCCAATTGGTAATGCTTCAAGCCATTCTGAAGCATCTTTTTCATACCAAAGTGATAATGAAGATGACGGAGGTGATGTTTTTGATGAAATTGAACTACATTTTACAACTAAAATATCTAATAAATAATTAATTATTGATAAATGTTTGTATTGACATGCTGCTCTTATTGTTCTGTACAAAAACAAAAGACTATTTCTATGAGTTACTTAAAAACAAACTTACTTAAGTAAATAAATATCAGCTCCTTGTTCAACAAGAAATTTGACAATGCACAAATGATTATTTTGAATGGCACATATAAGAGGTGTTAATTCCTCATATTGAATTAATGTCCATTGATCATCTTCTCTTTCGTTTAATACTGTTATGATTTCATTTATATTATCTTTATTTATATATTTTTTTACTTTATCAAGATCCCCATTACAACATGATAACTGCAATTCTGACAATATCATTATTTATCAATTCATTCACATAATTAAATATACATAAGAAAAATCTCAAATAAATTTCTTTCAGTTTTTATATCTCAAGATAAGTAAAAGTTGATAATTTATTCATTATTTAATTTCATAGGTGAATTTTTATTTCTCAAATAACAGTTCAAAAAGAGGTCGCACTAGGAGAGAAGAACATCCGAAGAGTTACTGCGGGTTTGAATGCAAAACAAGTGAAGTTTTAAGCTTCTTATGATACTCGTGATGCATTGAGGTTATCGAAGAATATTCATATGAAATTTTGATTTGTTCAGGCAAACAACTTTTTCTTAGTAACATCATAAAAATGGAGTTTTAAATAGAAACTTTAATCCGAAGCAGACTTGAATGAGCGTACTTTATTTTGAAATGGTTGTGCTGATTTTAGGTACGACTATTGATTAAAGCATGTTTTTATATCACCCGTATACAGTGCAGAATTCTGGCGGGTGGATGTAGCGATAGAAGAAAAAATTTATAAATAACATATAAATCGATTGAGGTAATATAATTTATGATCTAACCTTCAACTTAGTACTCAACTTGTATCGAACAAACAATATATATTTATTTGTGTTTTTGAAACCTTTAAAAGATAAATGTTATTACAGATAAATAACAGTCAAAAATAATAAAAGGCAAATGATAACATTTTGTTTATCATGCCTTGAAATATTAAGATTTCTTATTATGTATCAAGTTAAATGTATAATACACAAAATATTTCTAAAAAAACAACATGGACAGGTCGAACAACAGTCGAGTATATATATTCATTTTTTTTCCTATTGTTTTTATATTTAACGTTTTTGTTATTTCAATTAAAGATTAGAACATCATCACAAAATAATTAATTTACGTTCGAATCGAAATGAAGATTTATCAAATATAAAAAATCGAAGAAAATCTGAATATCAAATTGATTCTCGTATTATAATTAATGTTAGTGGATTACGTTTTGAAACATTAAAAACAACACTTGAACGTTATCCTCAAACATTACTTGGAAATATTCGTCGTCGTTCATTATTTTATGATAAAAAACAGGATGAATATTTCTTTGATCGACATCGTACTTGTTTTGAATCTATACTTTATTATTATCAATCACATGGACGTCTTCGTCGACCAGAATATGTTCCACTTGATACATTCTTAGAAGAAATAACATTTTTTGAGCTAGGCTCTGATGCTCTTAAACAAGTTCAACAAGCAGAAAATTTAGAAGAAGCACAAATAATTCATCTTCCAAAAAATCCTATTTGTCGTTTTATATGGAGTACATTAGAATATCCACAATATTCAATATTAGCAAAAATTATTAATATTATTTCATTATTTTTTATTCTTTTATCAGCTGTAGGTTTAGCTGTTGAAACATTACCTAAATATCATCGAGCTACAAATGATCAATGTCAAAATGAAGC